TGTACTTTATTAACGTGTCAGGAATCTCTAGCGCATAGCACTAATTGGTGACACAAAAATAAAAATCAAATATTAAAATAGTCTTAAAATAGTGTTCAGATAGAAATGCAAAGGGTAAAAACTAGGGAGGCTAAATATCTAAACCTATTTACACGTAAAAAGATGTATGTACATGATAACAGGATAAAAATTTTGCTTTGTAACATAGGGTCTCAAAGTTAATTATTACAAAGCATGCGGTTTCTTCAGCCATCCTCGAATAAGCTGGCAGTCAGGTCTGTTCTCCTAATTTTAGTCTTAAAACTGCGCAGACTATCCTCAGCACGTAATTGAGAATCGCAATTTCCTGAAGCCTTCTGTTGAAACGTGAGGGGAGTTCAGCCAGCCTCAGCAGTTCGTCGTAGGAGACTGGCTCATTGTTGAAAACCACTCTAGGGGCTCTCTCCTGTAATCTGTCAACTTTACGTTTGTCTGAGGCTCTGCAGAAATGCCCAATGGTACTGCAGTAAGTCAAGTGAGGCAATATGACAGCTTTGTAAAGTTGTAATTTAGAATGAGTGGGTATAATTTTCCTTAGACGTCTTAAAACTCCTATCTGTTGGCTAGCTTTTCTGCAAACAGAGCTAATGTGCTCATTAAAATTAAGTTCAGAGTCCAGGAATACACCAAACAATTTGATAGATTTCAATTGTTCTATGTTAACCCCATTTATATCCAGGTTTATATTATTTGCCTCAGATTCAGCAACCAGTACCATGGATTGATATTTCTGAACATTCACTTGTACAGGTTTTCCTTGTACCATCTAGTGATCTTACTACCTTCACTCATGCCCTCAACGATACTAGTAGATGAGCCCGAGGCAAAGATTTGATGATCGTCTGCATAAATAGAAATTTCCTCCTCAGTTATATAAGCAAGATCATTTCGAAATGAGTTCCACAAAAGGGGACCAAACGAAGACCCCTGAGGACAACCTCTTATTGTATTTTTCCACTAACTGGTCACAGAACCCAGCTTCACCCTGTTTTGTCTGTGAGAGAAATACGAGCGTAGAAGTTTGTATGATTCCAGTTTCTTAATAAGTAGTGGTGGGCTAACATCAAGTTAGCTTTTTCCACTTTTAAAGTTGGGCATTTTTTCAACGTGATTTTATGACTCAAGGCCTCCGATCGCGGGTAATTTATAAGTTTCTTTGTGCTGATTGTAATGCCAGTTACATTGGCAAAACTACTTGCCACTTCTCCACTCGCGTCCGTGAGCACCTTGTATCGGACAAGGCGTCTCACGTCTACAAACACATTGCTTCATCTCAAGCTTGCTGAGAGTCCTGTTCCACGGAATGTTTCACTATCCTTGATACCGCCGCCTCTGGATTCCAGTTAAAGATTAAGGAGGCGATGTATATAAAGTGGGAGAAACCTATTCTAAATCAACAGGTGAAACATAAACCTGTCACTTTCCATGTAGCTTAGCTGCTATTTATGCTGTTTCTTTTTCTCTCCTCATTGTTCTTCTGTCCCATTTAACTTTCATTGAAATCCTGGTAATTAGCATATTCAAATTGTAACTCACTTCTACAAATATTATATTCAAATTGTAAAGAGCTTCTACAACTAAAGATGGCATAAGATTGGCCACGCATGTCTTGGAAGCTAAAAACTGTTGTGTAATTTCTTCGAATCATAACAAATTTTCTGGGCTCGCGTCCGTTTAATTACAATTTATTAGTCAATTAAAAGTAAGTTTGATTACTCACCGTAAACCATCTTCCACATCTTTTCAACAAGCAGCTGGCACTGTCTTTTCCAACTGAACATCTCTTCATAAACTTCTCGCAATCTTCGGGTTTCTTCCAGCCGTTGTATCCTAGGTTTTTGACGGATAGCATCAATTGCCTTTGCCCATTCCTTGGGGTCATCAGAATCGATCACAACTGACTTGCCCTCAGTAAGACCACGCAGTGTTTCTCCAAATCCGGAGTTTCCACTAACCAGAATGGGAAGACCAGCTGACATCGCTTCTAGTGCTGTCAACCCAAATCCTTCAGTTCTTGAAGGCATGATGGCCACATCGACTTCGCAAAACAACTCTTTTAATCTTTCCTTGTTTTGTACAAATGATCTGACAATCAGCTGGTTCCTTGAAATGCCAGTTTGCAGTAAGATTTCGGCGACTTCATCCTGCTTTCCAGCAGGAGCACCAACAAACAGCAGACGGTAAGAACTATCCTGCAGCTCAATAATGGCTTTAGCAGCAATGTCATATCCTTTCAGACTGAAGTCTTCGAAATCACCGCGACCAAAGGTTAACACTTTGAAATTCGCTCTATCTTGTTTGGCATGTCGAGTCTCTGAAAACTCTACAAAGGAACCTGGTATCAACTGAAAGACATCTCGATGACATGAACAAAGTTTGGATGCGAAAGCTTCCTTCAGCTTGGGTCCAACTGCCACAACGAGATCTGCAATTTGGCATAATTCAACTTCAGCTCTGTTCTTTCCTTCCCCTTTGGCAATGGCGTTAGCATAGTTTTTATGCATTGCCAGCTCTTCAGGTTCAGTGTGCACAACTTGCATCCACTTGCAGGAATGAGATTCTCTGATGATTTGTGCTTGTCTACCGACCTTTGCACCATGACCAATCACAACTTGAATGTCAAGGTCTTTTGGTGGAAAGCTCAACCAGTCAAGAGGATCACTGAAAGCAGGGCGACGCTGTACTTCCTTAATGGCAATGTTGTGACTTCTGGCAGTTCTCTTGTCTTCTTCGCCACACTCGAATTCAGGTACAAGAATAGTGACCTCGACGTTTGCGCGTTTTGCCAAATGTATGGCAAGTTTTCTGTTTATTGTTGACAAGCCACCCTTAGATGACCCCCATTCATTGGCCAGAAGAGCAACTTTCAAGATTGAACGCCCTGGGTGACATTGTGCAGTATCCTGTACAGGAAACAAAACGCACATTTTAGAATAACAATTTTGATTTAAAGTTTGCACAACATGATATCAACAAATTCAAGATGCCAAAAACAGCTAAGAAAAAGCATGTTAAGAAGGAAACGTGGCCTAGGATTAAACGAAGTCATAAATACCAACTCCAACGCCAGCAGGCCCATTATTGTGTATTCAAAAAGAACGTTACATAAGTCATGTGAAATGTGAAAGCTTTTTGCTCCATATTACAATGATGATGCGAACTTTCGACAGCAAAGCAATGCAGGCACAAGATCAAGAGTACTACAGGCAATGTACGATACACAAATTCTTTGAAGAACAAAGTCAATGAGGCGAATTCCATCTGTGGCGAGATTCAAAGGCTGACGTTTGAAAACTAACCATTCTTAAGGAGGCGGCGTGATCAATTGGTTAGGGTGCTGGACTTGCACAGTCAACTCTCGCCTTGCGGACACCCCGCTATAACTGACACCCTGATAAAACGGACAGTAGCTTAATCCCCAGCAAGAAAAAAATTACAGACGTTTGACTGAAATAAACTCCCGCCATTATGGACTCTCGCTAATGAAGACATGAATTCGAGGCCCCTACAGTGTCCGCTATAAAGAGAGTTGAATGTAATTCGTAGGCCTCAAGTTTAAGTCTCGCCCTGACCGCTTGCTGGATTTGTTCTTGGCAGTCCCGAGTTCAAATCCTCGGTCATGCTTGTAAATAGACAACTGGTTTGCCTCCAACCAGTTGGGATTTTTAACCATGTTATGTTTCCTTTAAATTATTTGTTTCATTACCCCTGAATAGCCCCACAAGGAGAGAGGATCATTAATAATTATGATTATTGTTCGTCAGAGCCAAATGTTAAGAGCTTCAAGTATCAGCATTTGAGTTATTACATGGTACCACTTGACCTTCTAAATTCGCTTAATTTTACTTTATTTCTTCTAGTCATTTCCTCTCCTTCATGTGCTAGGCCACATAAGAGGTATACACTATGCATTATCCTGGGATGTAATAACTTGCATGAAAAGATTTTGTTGGAGCTTAAAAGAATAGATAGACGACTACACATCTAATAACATAATACTTGACGGTATCTAACGTCCCCTATAGTATGATCCTCTTTTAGTTTATAAAAATGAAACGCTAACCTAACAGCATTATTTACTAGAGACTGAATTTTATTACCACCTACCTCACTTGGCACCTGTGAGAACCATTTTCCCTGTCCTCTAACCGTAAGTAACTCCTCTGAAGGTTTCTTTTTGCAAATCAGTGGGTCACCTTGTTTTAACTCCAGGAGGTGAAGACAGTCGTCATGAGTACAATCCATCTGATTATGGCCTGAGCACTTTTCCAGCTGACAGTATGGGCAGGCCACCCGAATCTCGTACTGCACTCCACGCAAATACAGAAGATCATGTGACAAGGTTTGTAAAGTTGCCTCCACAAACTCGCGCACCTGCACCGCTACCCCACTTGTGTCCTTCACTGAAATCTTCTGACACTGTTTTTTTTGCTTGACAAAAAACTTTATGAACTGCTTCTTACAAATAAGAACTAAATCATAGATAATTTTCCTCCCAATGACGAACCATGCTCCATTTTGATATAGAGTAGGGGGCTGAGCTGGACCAGCCTCAGAACACCACCTGACCAGTCGAGAAACAAGCCGTGTGAACAGGCCATGGGGGACAGAACCAGTAACAAAGTAAACATAAAGAGGACAAGGGTCTGAGCTTGAGGGTACCATGGCACAAATGGAATCAGGTGGCATTCTGAGCTGGCATGGCACAAAATACTTTTCATCAGTTTTAGAAGGTGAAAACTTTGCAATCAAACCAAATTGTTCCAACAGATCCAGAATGTCATCCTTTGCAGCGCCCTTCAGAAGAAACTTAGAAAATACATGATGAAGCAGTTCCATGCTGAGGACTCCACTTTCTTTAACTTCCTGCCAGAGGTTGGAAACCTTGGGTTCCTGAGAAATAAAATGTAGAGTGATTAAAAGGTTTTTTCAGGTGACGTCTGTATTTTTCTTGACCTCTCAAAAGCAGGTGGTTATGCCATTATTTTTTATTAACTCGAACATCATGCGGTAATCGTGGTTTAGCACTGGACTGAATAAGAAGTTCTTTTGCAAGCTGAATGCAATATATAGAGGATATTACACGGTGGCGCGAAGATATGAATTTTATTTTCGAGTGGCAAAACAATATTTTACGAACGAGCGCAGCGAATGAGTAAAATGTTGTTTTTGCCACGAGAAAATAAAATTCATATCTTCAAGCCGCCGTGTAATGTTCTTTTTATTATATAAACAAAAAGACATTGATAAAATAATAGATTTTTATTCGCCAAAAAGTAATTGTGACGGCTCAAATTTATAGTACAGCAATATAAGACATTGCCTTGAGAAATAACAAATAATCTTGAGAAATAACACTGAACTGAATAGGGCTCTACAATGACAAAATATGAGAAAACTTTGAAAAATGTGTACTTAAAATTCAAAGGACGCAAGACACCTACAAATTTTGGAGGGAAATTACCGAAATTACGTCATCGATAAACTCACGTGTGGGATTGTGGAAAATAAACCACTCGGGTCCCGGATGTAGTTTTTATGAATTTTACGAGTGGTATATTTTCCAGTAAAACACTCGTGTCTATATAATAAATTGAATTAAATGGCCATCGGTACCACTATATTCATGTCAGATAACAATTTTTCCTAAAACAATACCAATACCAGTCTTTTAACAATACTAGAAATTCCTTGACATACCGTCTACCCTACTGTCGAACACTAAACATTAAGAAATTTCCTTTTTTCAAAATCCCAAGTTTTTTTAGTTGACTTCACAACGAAGTTATCAACTCTTGATCCCTTTCTTCCTTTCAGAACATTGTAAAGGTTACATTACTTTTTGGACTTTAGACTTTATGCCATCTTTTTCTTGAATTGATGTAAGCAACTAAAGCCCGTAATTCGAGGAGGCCTAATCTCGCATAAAAAGCTTTTTATAGCTTCTCTTAGGTCTCCTTGCCACGTCTCTTTCGCTACTTATCTTACATTTTTGTTGCTATATTTTTACTATTGTGTGGCAAATAAATAAACAAATAAATAAATAAATAAAAAGAGCTAGAATAGAAATGTGCTGCAATAATAGTTTGAAAACACTTACCGAACTTTTTTCGGACCTTACCGTTTCATTAAATGGTGGAATAATTATCAGCTGCTTGAATAGGTCTATTAACCACTCAGCGCTCACAATGACTGTGCTGCAATGCTTGATAATTATCCCCAGGTCATGGTAGAAATGCACCATGGTAATGAACTCTTCCTCGTCTTTAATAAAGCAGTTGTCCCTTACAGAGGTCTGAAGTTCCCTCAAGTTCAAATGGTAAACTTTCTTGGACAGCAAAGCATTGAGGACCTTCTCAAAGTTCAACCACCTATATAAAAGGATGAATGCAAGTTTTCGTGTCGTCGGGCAGTGTACTTGAAACGATTCTTGGGCAGACGTTTGCACGCAATCTCAATCAGGAAGGTAAACATAACCACAGAAGCTAACTAAATTCTACCAGTCCTGTGTTAAGTAGCCACCATTTACGTATTACGGCTCAAGTAATTTATTGTGGCCACCTACCGTAAAATTCCGAGAGTAACGGACCCGAAAGTGACGTCACAAAATGTGGTCACTTATAAGTCCCGAAAGTACCGTTAAAAATAATAATTAAAGCTAAGGAATCTCCTAAATAGCAAGCACCCCCCTACGTCCCCCCCCGCGAAAAATAAAGAACGCTTTTATCAAGTGTCAACGAAGGTCATTACTTACAGTCAAATGCAAGAATGAATAAAGTCTGCCGCTACAATTTCTAACCTTTCAACGATTTTTCACCGCAAGCAATTGTGATTTATATGAAAAAAAGACAGACGGTGGCAAAGGAGATGCTAATAGAGTGGGACATGTGCCTGTAGCTCAACAGAGATCGTGCACTAACTATTGCTATAAAATTAAATGAAGATTACATACAATCTGTATAAATGGTCAAAACAGCCGTGAGCCTGAGGGTTTATGGGCTCAAGGAGGTGAAAAAGAGGTTGTTTGTTTCTATTACATCATTAAAAACAGTTTAAAGGGATCAAAAGGGAACCGCGAATAAACAATGACACCACGGTTTACAAAAGAAGAACCCACCCATATAACAGCGAGGAGAAACTTGACGATTTTTATTTGTTTTTAGCGACTTTCCGTCCTTTCGTTTGGAAATAAAATGACCTTAAATGTTGTCTCACCAGATTTTTACATCACGCCTTCGTCTCCGCCATGTAGAAGCGACCCCCCGAAAATATTGAGCGCCCAAGGTTGCCTATCACCCTGATCACTTTTTACGGTATTTCAGAATAACAATTTTCACGAGCGCGAATAACAACTATATTAAGTAGGCCCTATTAAATGTTCTGGAGAGCCGCATCCCATCGAACCCTTCCTTTGTCGATTTCCTTCAAGGCAAAGCAACGTTTTGATATAGAGTGACTCTATGGACCATAGTTATCCATGTTTTACATTAATTTGCCTTTGTTCTTGGGTAAGGAGGAGGCCTACATCACATATTAGAAAGCTTAAGGAAAGACGTTTTTGAGTGACGTACGTAATCTTTCGCTTGTTTCACGTGTTTATACTTTTGTACGACTGACAATGTCTTTAGACTGCCCTTCGATCTACGTGAAGGACTTACGATGTGCCGGCAGCCTCTAGGTATCTTATATACGGGGATTTTGCATCCCTACGTTGCCAACTATTTACTGGTAAAACTTAAAATTTATCAGACCTGCAAGCAAAATGCTATGAGGACTGGACCAAAGGCCCACAGTGTATATCTGCATTTGTATACCCACTATTAGTTTTAATGCTGCCAAACCTCAACCCTTAATTAACATGGAAATTCTCGTCAAAAGACATCTGTGTTCTATTATTCACTTTATTTACCTCGCAGGTATCGTTTCCTTCATGTATGGCTCCTGTCTCAACACTTCCATGATTTTGTCTTTTAGCTCTTCGATGTCATCAATGTTTTTATCTTTTCTAAAAACCTTTTCCAACCTTCTTTGAATTAATTTTGCAGTGTTGTCAATGGAGAAGATAGGCCGCATCACATGTCCTTCATATTTCTTACCAGCAATTGCCTTCTGTATTTTTCTCTTCATTGTTGCAATGTCTTCAAACGGTTTGTCAGCATGGGTACCTACAATGATCACAGGGGGACGCACATGAGGCAGCTTTTCTTCGGCATCGTCACGAGTTTGTCTTCTCATCTGTGTGATGCTATGCACTGTGGACAACCAAGATAGCAGATTCTCCAAATTTGTTTCCCCATTTGGGTTCTCCAAAGTGAAATTATGATCTCCTTGTCTCACACAGGGTTGGGCAGTGTCATGCAATGATTTGCTGAGGTTGCACACCAAGATATATATTGCACGTGATGTTAAAAATACAGGATGAGATGCATAGTACAGCTGTTGTCCAGCAAAATCCCACAGTTCAATACTACCAACAGATTTTTCAGTGACTCGTTTTTTACCATGAACATACTTTATCCACTCTACAGCGTGCTTTGTGATCTCGTCTGGAGGTGAAGTAGTATCAATCATTAACTCATGTTCAGGTTCTGATGACATCACTTCACTGACACCTTCCTTTTTTGGATCGGGGACCTATAACAGGAAAAGGATTTTTAGCGGAGCTTCTCGCGCGCGCGAAGCGCGAGCAGAGCGGAGCACCATGGGTAAGAAAATTTGGTAAACTATCCATGTGAGAAAATTTGGTTATGACATAGCGCCCGCCCGCCCGCCCGCCCACCCGTACACACGCTTCATGTAAGCCGATGTCAAATGTTACAAAGGATCTTGCACAACTTGACTCGCCTCTTAGTTATGTAAGCCATTCGTATGAGTACGATTAGATTGACAGCTGTCAAAATTAGGCATCCGCTGACAATTATCACATGACTATCTCGCGGGCTCAGATGAAAGACCAGTCGTTTTGCCCCTACATATAAGCGGATATAATATGTCACACTTACCAATTCAACATAAAAACAAAACTACGCCGGGCAAGGCTGTCAGTTGGCTGACAGTCGTTTAAAGATATATTGGCAAGCCAAATTAAGGTCAATTGACAGCTGTCAAAATGGGACATGTGCAGACCACTATTAGAAACTAATAACGTGGGCTCAGGTTCGCTCAGGTACACGATCTGGCATTTTCCACTATATGCCGGACGGAGATGTCTTACTCACACTCGTAGTCTGTTAATTCGAATATTCGCCATTGTAATGAAAGTTAATTGACAGCTGTCAAACTAGAGTATACGCTGACCATCATCATCTGAGTGTATCGCGGGCTCATTAGCCTATCCATTGAGGTCACGTAGTGTTTAAAGTTTTGCGCTGATATTTTATTTGATCACGGGCTCAGTTGGAAGTCCCATAGCTTAGAAAATCGATCCATCTTAGAAAATTCGGCAATCACGTGACCGTACACCGACCACCCGACCTTCCGTCCGTCTGCACCACAGGTATACCAATGTTTAATCTCACACTTTCTAGCTAGTTTGGGAGCCTGCAACCTGATATTGTACATCCATGTTTTGATTAATTGACAGCAGTCAAAATAGTGTTTCTGCTGACCAGTATCGCCTGACCCTATCGCGGGCTCAGGTATCGACCCACTGAGTTCGAGTGTTTTTTAACGTATCCGCTGACAGGTTGCTACTTTTCAATTATCGCAGGCTCAAGTTCAATTTTTTTAAAGGCATATGAAAAAAGTCGAGTTCATGAGCCGCACTTTTAAAATGTTGATTTCGAACTGACCTCGGACGCGAAAATTCAACCGGCTTTTACATTTACATGCGGGGAAGGCAATCACTTTTGACTTTTCTCACTGTCACGCGTTGATCACGCTCTACGTTCAATTTTTATGTTCTGATTGGTCAAAATTTGACAGGTGAGTTCATGCGGAAAATTTATGCAGCGTCTGGAAACTTGCTTACTGATAGCTGGAGCTTACAGAGTTTTGTGTCATCTTGTGATGTTTTAAACTGGCTGTTTCTACTTGGTTTACAAAATGAAATACAGCTGCTATCAAGATTGTTAATTCATGGCTGGTTTGTTTATTGCGCTCTTTGTTGACAAATGCACCGCTTTTCAAAGTCATTGGAAATCCGATTTCGGATGGCATCGTTTTCAAAAATGAGCCTACTCACTTGCCCTTGCTTGAGGCGTAAGAGGGTTGAAAATTCTGGAACACTTGATGACCTTCAGAAGCAGCATCTCGACTGGTAAGCCTGAGAAATTGTTGTCTTTGATGTGTTTTTTTTTCGGTTTCCTGAAGTCGAGCGTATGGTTTATGCGGCTTAAGTTTATATACGAGCAATGATCTAACCTACAATAGTATCAGGTTTAAAAAGCCCTTAGACCTTTTTTGACCTCAAATTCAAAGAAAATGTTCCGAAGATTATTTACTTATGATTTTGACTGTAAAAAGAAAGCCCTGAGCGATTTTCTTGCCTCGAGTTCATCTTGAAAAAGAGCAAACACCGGGAAGCCGGCTTAAAACATAAATAAGCTTATGCTTACCTGACTCATGATTTTCAAAGACACTTTACTCTCAATACTTCTCTTCGTGAATGAAAATTATTGTCTCTGTACATGTTTCACCGAATTATATTTATTTTATTGATTGTTAGTAGTCCCTCTCGCAATTTTTATCGCTGCACCGGTTGTATCCAGTCGAACATAAACATCTCATGCAGGAATACTCAAAACGCCGCGCGTAAATATCACTCGCTTTTAAAGATTACACATAACAAAACCGTCCGTAGTTTAATAAATAAAGGGAAATAAAATCTAAACATACAATTTATCTATCATGTTGAAGCGTAAATGGTAACTCTATTAATCGCACTGTAAATTTAGTGCCTGTCAAAAGTGAGCCACGTCTGGCTGGCCGAAAAGTGATTTTGGGAATTTTTTTATCGTTTTCATTAAAAGCCCATTTTACCCTGCATATCACATAGGACCAGATTTTTCTAACTGAAAGTCCTGGAATTAGAGAATTCTCTTCATGAAAACGTTTTATAATTCAATGCTATAATTTGTTGTGCAAAGGAAGCGCGTGCTTTGATCGTCGTAAATATTGAATGAGTGCAAATTCTCTTGCAAAATTGTGAAAAACTGCAGAATTATAGGTTTAAATACGGCAAAAAAGAACAAATTCTGTCCGAGGTCTGTATGATAAAAACAAGGGCCTCATAGTACTGTTTACCTGAGACGTGATGAGAAAAAGTATGTTTAAAAGGCTGGTTTGCACTCCACCAGATTCGTCGCCAAGATTTACTAGTAAACTAAACTTGTCGAACACAAAAAATCCGGTCTGATTTTTTATTTTGGCCTCTCTTTTAGACAGAGGAATGCAACGTGTAAATTGGCTGCCACCAAGGACTATCGTGGCGCCTGTGTTTCTTAAAATTATATTTCGGGGTTGTCCAATTATCCATAGTCTCTCAAACGGAGCAATGTTGGCGAGAGTGGTGAATGCCACATTATGATTCAACAGCTAATGCAAATACAATACACGAATAGGTAGGTCTATTTGTTTTCCAGGCCTAATCTACTGTGATCAAACATGATTGCTATTTTTGGGTGTACAAATAAGATTATTTAATAACTCGATGTAAAAGCTGTTTCACTCTTGGACTGTCAAATAATTTTTCTCTAAAATCACTTAGCCTTTGCCTCAAACGTCAAATGAATGTGCCCTGATCTGCGGATTACAAGTTTATTGTTTGATTTAAATTATGAATTTATTAACGGGAGCTTCGCTTTTAGCCCTGGCTAAATCTATATATTAACTTATTTATCAGGTGCTTAGTGAGAAATCAGTCTGATAATGTTCTTAATATGTTCTTAAACAGTGTTTCAGAAATACTACACTTAACATGTTACTAGAGGTTTAGTTAGCATATTTTAATTTTTATTACCAATAAATAAGTAAGTAAGTAAACAAATCAGTAGATCAATAAATAAAACAAAAATCTGTCAGGTAGTAAACTAGTTAACATTTACGAGTAGAAATGTAACAGTTTCAACATTTTTTAAATATTTCTGACAGTCATGCTATTAACTCAACCGGGGCCACCATTGACTCTTCAGCCAAGAAATTTGTTACAGTTTTGTAATTGACTAGCAGCGACCATACGGTTACATTGCTTTTTTACTCTGACATCCTCTCCCTTATAATATAAACACATGTTTTATTTATCAGGATGACTGGTTCTTACTTACATGGTGCTTTATGAACCAAATTTCACCCCGATGTTCTCAATCCATTTGTTTTTAAATGCGGGTGTTTACTGCATTATTATTCCAAAAAAACAGATGGATCAACTCAAACATCAAGCCATTATCATTGGGGAGATGGGCATCAACCAAACAGATTCAAACCGGCACATGCCTGTTTGTTGCTTGGTGTGGACAAACATTTTGCATACAAAATATAAAAAATGTCTTGCTTCATTGTTTGTTCGATAGAAACCTCCAAATTCCCCTTTCCCTTCCCCTATTAACGCCTACCACGCAAGCTACCTCGGTAAAGGTATAAACTCAGCTATTCCCATGATGCACTGCAAACAAACATTGGGGAGAGCAGTTTCAAAAAGATGCGGTTTCGCGGTCAGCGGATTCATTGGTTTCATGTGAACGGAAACCCCATTAACGTAAAAAAACTATGATAATAATGAATATGCGGTTTCAAATATATTCCGATTTGTGTTAACGGGGCCTTAAAATGAATGTTGCAAATAACGGAATTCTAAACGTTGACATTGAGTAACAATAAAATTTTATTGTTGAGAATATCATTACTCATTCCTCGCGCAGCGAAGGTTAAAAAATTGTCTACATTCGCATCGCGCGTGGATCGCACAGCGCGGCAGAATGTTAATTGTTAAGTTGGCTACCGTAAATGACCTCATAGATACCCACTTCAAAGTAAACGTCTCTTATATAATAAACGCCCCCCTCTACGCTGATAACATTGATTTAGACGCCCCCTATGAGAATTACTACAAAATACTACGATTAAGAAAAAGGGATCAAAATCATTCAATCCATTCAGATTCTTGCTTTTATAATAAACAAGGCTTTGTGTATTTCATCTTGTTCAATGTCAAGTTCAAAGTAAGGACAGACTAACGAAGGCATAACACAATAACCCTGAGCGGGGATTCTGACATCGATGTTGGGATTTGATCTCTAGACAGCTTATTTGGCTATTTTTAAACTCTCTTGATATTTTTGCCGAAAGTACATAACTTTTGTTGAGCTTGTCACAGCTATGAGAATAAACGCCTCTCTCTTTTAAACACATGAAGCCTATCTATTAAACGCCCCCGCTTGGACTCCTAAAATTAAATAGACGCCCCGGACGCTTAAAAGGTCATTTACAGTATATGCCTAGTATCTCTTGGTGGCGGTCTGCAATAACAGCGATCATCAATTGCAAGCGATGAATTTCGACGGCAGAAGTTTTTTTACAAAGAAAATTGAAGAAATTTAGACTATCAGCTACACAAGAAGAGCGAAAATCGAGACATTTAATGAATATTTTTAAGTGCGTCTCACTTAGCAGACGAATTTGCTTCTGTCCGCTAAGTATGCGAGTAGGAAGTGCCTTTCAGTTCGGCTTTTTACAGTCGGAACCTTGCTTTCTTCTCAAAAATCGACCTTGGAACTTCCTTGGAACTCATGTTACACCGAGGACCACCCAATATCAACTTGGCACTTTTCCCACCGATGGATCAAAGAAAGCGAACCCGCGGTAATTGTTTGATTTCTATCTTCTTTTTCATCCGGCAGACAATATAATGTCTATAATGTTACCCATCCAGTTTCGAACCCCGCCCGACCACGGCTTAAACTTACGCGGGTGGTGCTTAATTGAGTGCTTGCTATTGTAAGACGGTGTCGTACAAATTCCCTAGTCATCAACCCTGATAAGACTAAGCTCCTGGTTATCGGAGTTCCGCAGATAACGAGAAACCTACCATTTTTTCCGGTGGTTAAATTACTGGGCAAAGAAATTAAACCTGTACCTGTGGCCAAGGATCTGGGTGCAATTATTGACTCCTCTCTAAGTTATAATGAACATGTGACCAAAGCAGTTTCACATTGCATGGATAGATTAATTAGGATCAATAGAATCAGGCACTCAGGCACCTTCTCGATAGAAAGACGCTACTTTTACTAATTAATACTTTTGTTTTCAGTAAATTGTTTTATTGTTCCACCGTATGGAGCAACACCTCTAAACCAAATGTAAAAAAAAATGCAATTAGTTCAGAACTTTGCCGGCAGGATAGCTCTTGGTCTCCGGAAGTATAATCACATTTCTGAGGAATTGAAGTCACTTAGATAGCTTCCTATTACTGATAAACTACTTTTAAATGATTGTGTTATGGTCCATAAGTGCCTAAATGGTCGAGCACCAGGGTACCTTAGTCAAACATTTACTCGTAGACAACAAGCTCATCACGATAGAAATACACGATACAAAAAAGACCTCAATCTACCGAGATGCAGATTAAAACCTGGCAGCGATCTTTCGCCTTTAGAGGGGCTACCTGTTGGAACAAACTACCCAAAGACATGAAGGAAGTAGCAGATTGTCGAATTTTTAGGAAGAGATTAACGAACATCTTTTAAAAATGATTTTCATCATTTTAGTACTTATAATTAGTTGACTATTTTAATTACTTTTTCTTGTATCTAGTTAGCTGTAAATAGTTAGCCCATAGTGACTGAAAAGCCCTGTAAAGGGACTCTCAATAAACGTATACAGTATGTGCTATTTTAAACCAAGTTTCGTGAGGGTAGGCGGACCACCTATTTCTGCTATAAGCAATACTTGATTAAAGTACAATACAAAAGCCAAGATATAACTGGAAACAAACCTGGTTCACAAATGAATCGTCTCTCTTTTCACCTTCAGCATCATCCGCCTTTGTCCCACTCCTGTAATTTTCATTTTTAAGCTGGTCACTGTTGTGTATTTCTGCATCTTCTCCCTCCTCCTGAAAACAAAGCTTTTCCACCACCATCTGTGCCACATCTTTAGAACAACCCAGCAACCCTCGTTCACTCGTATCAATGGGTTGCCAGTTCTTAACTTCGTCCGCATGCACTTGAAAAATTGACGGATCTACTTCAATTCCTTCAGTACTATTTTCGTTACGATTGAATGGCAGACCAATGAGAGATTTTTTCAAGCTTGTTTTTCCTGCCCTATCCTGACCAATAAGCAATATCCGAGAACGCTGAACACTAACAGCTCCATCTCTAAGAGCACGTCGATAAACAAGCTGCGCTCTTTCTCCTCGTGCTTCTATTTCCTTGGGAGCTACAAAGGATAAAAAATTTTAAAATCATGTGTCAGACATGACCCTCGTAAATGTGTTGTTTTACTTGTAATAATAATAATAATAATAATAATAATAATAATAATAATAATAATAATAATAAATATAAAATAACTTTATTCATAGATTCAAAAAAATAGACTATTTACAGATTCAAGAATATGAATATTAAAATATATACCCTACGTACATTCTTCTTATGTACGAAAGAGAATTGTCGTAAAATGACTATCTAAAAAACTACTAATAACAAATTATAAAAAGCATCAAAAAGTTAATCAAAATAGAACCATCTAAAAATAATTCAAACTAATAATAATAATAATAATATAATTCATTTATATAGCGCTATTAATACGAATTATTCACAGCGCTTTACAATTTTAAACCTTATACTAACTATAAAATAGTTTTTACAATTTCATCCTACCATTCTAATTTCTACAATTAGATATAATATATAATTTAAAAATAATTACTGATTACAACTTACACACTACAAAAAAAGTAGAAAACAAAAGAACATACATAATAGTATGCAAAATAATAAAGCAAATGCCCATCTAAAGATAGGCCGTTTTAAAAAGCATTGTCTTCAGTCCTGATTTAAATGCTTGTATATTTGACGACATGCGCAACTGAAAAGGCTGTTCATTCCATAGCTTAGGAGCGCAGACAGAAAATGCTCTATCGCCATAGGTAACAGTTCTGGATTTAGGAACACTAAGCAGATGTTGAGACTGAGATCTAAGATTGCGGGTATATTTAGGCTTATTAAGTAGCTCAGATATGTATTCAGGAGATAAATCATTAAGTGCTTTGGAAGTCAACAGTAGCACTTTAAACCTTATACGATAGGAAACAGGGAGCCAGTGTAGTCTAACTAGAACGGGAGTTATATGATCATATTTACAAGTAAAAGTTATAATGCCAGCCGCAGTATTTAGTACTGACTGAAGTCTGTCTATTTGGTATTTTGGAAGTCCAATAAGTCAAGCATTACAGTAGTCCAGCTTTGATGAAACAAATGCATGGACTAACGTCTCAGTAGAATTTTCATCTAGATATTTTCTGATCTTGCTAATATTTCTAAGATGGTAATGAGATGATTTGCATAATTTGCTTACATGTTCCGTCAGTCTTTATTTATTAGAACCAACCGGTAACCTACAGATCATGGAGGCACAGTTTCACAACTCATTAATCCCTTTATGGGCAAATAAAAGTGAAAATCTGTATGCTTTGTTCAAATTTACGGTGCGGTCACTCAAACCGGGACACTTGGAAGAAGATTGTCCAATCACAACGTTTTCTGAAAACAAGATTCTCGAGTTTTTTTGCATACGGGCCGTGCAACAACATCCATCAATCTGAGGGCTGTTTCCTAAGAGTTCAGGTAAGTTCAAACGGTTTTAAAAATTTCAGCGGTTGCATAGTTAAATACTTGAATTTTATTGGTCTGTCTGCAAAAACACTTGAGAATCTTTTATTTTGAGAAAACGTTGTGACTGGACAATTTTCTTCCAAGTGTCCCGGTTTGAGTGTCCGCACTGCAATGTACTTGTTTAGTCTTGATGGTCTTTTTACCCACAGTAATGTTCTTAATATGATTCAGTGTTTACCGACTACTAGCAGCTGCTACTCAGATTAATGCTAACAATCAAGAACATAATTAAAGAAATCTTACCATAGAAGGTAACTGAATTGAAAGTTACTTTTTAACTGTTATCGTTACCTTCGGAGGGTCGTGAGTTCGATTCTAAGATGGAGATCAGAATTTTTTCTGAGCTTTCTGGTGTAAGATTTCTCCTTCTTCCAAATTAATAAAGTTTAAGTTTTGTTTTATCAAGTTCAATGATTTCATTTACAGTAAACATATGATTTTCATGGATGGGCATTAACAAATGCTGCTTCGCTTTTTCTTGTTTTATTTATATGTAATTCATCGCCTTTAGTATAAGCAACATAAAGTAGCTAACTTTGTGCAGTTAAATTTTGATTTGAGGTTTTCAAAAAAACTTAACTATTATAAACTGCCAGTTATCTTTTGCTTTCAATGTTTTAGTTTTCAATGAGAACAAATACTTTTGTCTCAAGATTTTTAGTGCTTGCTTCTTCTTAATTGTCTGATTTTCAATATTAGAACTAAACAGTAAATGTAGGAGCTGCTCGTAAGGTGTTTCCTCATTGGTCGCAGAAATCAATAACACATCACTGTTTATCATTATTTCCCATTATTTCACAGTTAGGGTACCGAACCATGCAATTGGCATTTAGGATTAGGAGAGCTGCTACATGCAGAGAATTATGGCAGAGAAATTTTGGAAGTCACTTGACCGTACGTCTACCCGTCGCACTGTCCAACGATCTGCATCACAGCGCGCCAATGTGAAATGTCACACTTTCTAGCTAATGTGGGTACCTGCAACCTATATGAAAGTCACTATTTTAGTGTACATCAATGTTTCTATGTAGATTACATATAATCAAATACGTGATAAAAATATGTAACTTATAAATTAAATATTAAAAATAAAATATACTTTAATTACATAGACACTTAAAAAGTCATTACAAGAAAGGTACGTATTTGCAATAAAATGTATAAATAAATAAAATTATAGAATAGTGTACGTATAAAAGTTACTAGCTTTCAATTGACTGCAAGCGTAAGTTTTTTTTGTCAGCAGGAATTAAGTTGACTGTTTCTTGGTTACGGTGAAAGGTTAACTCTCTCAGAAAGCCGTTTCCTGAAACTCACAGTAACTATATCAGACCTGGAAACATGCTTTATTCAAGATCGAAGTTTAACATTTAAGGCAATTAAATGAAACTATCCATGAGTGAGACAAAGTGTTTTACGTCTGTAAAATTTAGCGACTTTGCAAAGCTATACATTCGTTACAATCGTTAGCTTTCAACAAATCACTCTCAACTTGGCAACAGGGGCACCCAACGACAATTTTCGGAAGAATATCTGTTCGGAAGACGATTTTAGATCTAGAATTTTCGGAACATTTGTTGTAAAAATTCTTGCTTGCCTGCCTCTCCTATGATTTTCGAACATCAAAAAAATGGTATAATTGCCTATTTTTAACGGATTTTTACCCTAAAAAGGTCACCTAGAATTTTCGGGAACCTTTTTTCTGGCTGAAATTTTCGAAAGGGTAACTTTGGATTCCTATGATTTTCGGATCACTAGGCTTTCAGCTAGGAAATCCGAACAGATGAAAAATTTTTAGGGGATGAAAATATGCCTATATCTACCGTTTAAATACTAAAATACGTTTAACAGTGCTATGTTTAAGTGGTTTTGAACTATATTCTCGTTGGGTGCCCCTGTTGGCAACTTGCTGTTGTAAATGTTTCATTGAATTTTCATTCATGTCATGATTGGGACTGTTTTTGGAAGTCAGTGAGTTTAACTTTATTTAACTTCACTCTTTGATTAAGCAACTTGTAAGAAGATTCTGTTTTCATGCAGTTTTTTTTCAAGGTCATTTAGGTCTTAGATTTCGAGACACCAATTGCCGCCGACCTACCAAACAGTTAAGTTTCGATTACAGAGATTTCCTTCAATAACCCAATCCAATTCACAGGTATGATTTAAATAAATGTCTGCTGTAAGTGCGTGATTTAACTCGAATTTCGAGTATACCAGTGCGTGGTGAACTCAGAAAGTAGAGGGCGAACTTGTGGGGGCTAATTCACTAGGAGGTGAACTTACTGATATTCCTTGTTTTTGGTCTTAGATCACTGCAGTCAGTCGAAAATAATGCCGCGTGAATCAAATATGATAAAATAAAATATTAATTCGTGTGGTCAGATACAGTTTCAAACAGAAAAAATGAGTCTGTGGCCTTTTAGTTTATGGAAAATACTTGTTTGTGCTAAAACCCCATACATTTAAAACTGATTTGACGGCGCGTGTCTCTGATCGCTAAAATTGCTGCAAGCCCTAGTCACAGTGTAGTCAGTCGAGCAGCACACTAATCTTTGGGTTTCCTGTGGTTCCTTGGATGTCAAGTGTCGCTATTTAGATGTCACAAACTGGACTTATCTTTTTCAGGGAGATTTTTAGAGTTTATTTGTTATTAATGTTATAAGGGTTCAATTTAACTTAGCCTTTAGTGGTCCTCACCTGCAATATCAGTAGACAGTCCTCTTTTCTCCAACTTAAGAGCAAGACGTATAGCATCAACAGTTAAAGGATTACCACTCACACTCAGCCAACTCAGCTCCTTTAGGTCACCAATCTTAGCAGGTAATTCAGTAAGATTGTTTCCATCCAAGTGCAGATATCGAAGCTTGTTCAGCTTTTGAATACTGGTAGGTAAACCAACCAACTGGTTGTTGCTCACACTCAGCTCCCTCAGCTCCTTTAGGTCACCAATCTCAGCAGGTAATTCAAGAAGATTGTTTCCATCCAAGAACAGCTCTTTAAGCCAGTTCAGCTTTTGAATACTAGTAGGTAAACCAACCAACTGGTTGTTACTCACTTTCAGCTCCCTCAGCTCCTTTAGTTCACCAATCTTAGCAGGTAATTCAGTAACATTGTTTCCACCCAAGTAAAGCCGTACAAGCCCGTTCAGCTTTTGAATACTGGTAGGTAAACCAACCAACTGGTTGTTACTCACTTTCAGCTCCCTCAGCTCCTTTAGTTCACCAATCTTAGCAGGTAATTCAGTAAGATTGTTTCCATCCAAGTGCAGACATCGAAGCTTGTTCAGCTTTTGAATACTGGTAGGTAAACCAACCAACCGGTTGTTACTCACTTTCAGCTCCCTCAGCTCCTTTAGTTCACCAATCTTAGCAGGTAATTCAGTAAGATTGTTTCCATCCAAGTGCAGATATCGAAGCTTGTTCAGCTTTTGAATACTGGTAGGTAAACCAACCAACTGGTTGTTACTCACTTTCAGCTCCCTCAGCTGCATTAGTTCACCAATCTTAGCAGGTAATTGAGTAAGATTGTTTCCATCCAAGTGCAGATATCGAAGCTTGTTCAGCTTTTGAATACTGGTAGGTAAACCAACCAACTGGTTGTTACTCACTTTCAGCTCCCTCAGCTCCTTTAGTTCACCAATCTTAGCAGGTAATTCAGTAAGATTGTTTCCATCCAAGTGCAGATATCGAAGCTTGTTCAGCTTTTGAATACTGGTAGGTAAACCAACCAACTGGTTGTTCCTCACACTCAGCTCCCACAGCTCCTTTAGGTCACCAATCTCGGCAGGTAATTCAGTAAGATTGTTTTTATCCAAATACAGGCTTTGAAGCCTGTTCAGCTTGTTAATACTTGTTGGCAACTCAGTCAGATTATTGTCTTTAAGCTTAAGTTCCCGTACTTCACTCAGTTCAGTGACTGCATCAGGTACCCTGGATAGTCCTTTTCCACCCAAATTCAAACCTCCAAAATGGTCAAAGCATTTAGCTTTCAATTTAGCAGTGGAATAATCCTCCATGTTTAAGATTATTAAAGCAGACTTGTCCTTTTCGTTATATAATTAAAATGATAAAAAAAATGTGTAGTTAGCAAATTAAACATTATTATCAGTCAATGTTTCTAAAAACCATATCGGTGAATTTTGTAGTAAAATAAGAAAAAAAAAGAATTAATCTGTTGCTATTGTTGTTAGTTTTCAAAACACAGTAGTCCGTGGGCCAGAAAGTGAAACCCTCTCCCCCCCTCGGGGATTTTTGCAGACATGTATCATTTCAAAGCTTCACCCAAAGGTATTTCAAAAATGCATATTTGCACTTGATTGGTTGGTGGGTGTGACTGTGCAGCAGCATTCTTTTCCTCAGCAAAGAGTCACAGGTTACACACACCAAGAGGTGAGTTAACCTCTTCTGAAACACCATTACCGACAAAAATAACACTCAAAGTTATGTAAGGTAAAGTTTTTTTAATCCCATATACTGTAAGTTAAAATTCTCGACTTTACTTTTAAGCTCCAAAAACTGCTACTGCGCATGTCACAAGTTTAATTTAGCCTTTACTTGATCATTAGGAAGCAATTTGAGAGTGCTAATTCTTTAATTGTTGCCTTATGTTTCATGAGCAATGTAAATACGGGGATGTCACTTAGATTTTAAGTTGCCGGGTAAACAAGTAGGAGGGGAATCAAACAGCTAGGGATTTCTTTTGCTTCTATTTTTCTTTTAGTTTTCCAATAAAAGTAGCCGGGGGCCACACTCATAGTAGCCGGAGGAAATCCCCGGCCCCCGGCTCTTAATGACAGCCCTGTAAATATACAGCTATTTCGAGAAAGGTTGTCAGAAAAAGTGCATACAATCGCAAAAGATATTGTGGGAGGTAATTTTGAGTGCAGTACAGTACCGCAAATGATCCCCAACCGCAAATGATCTCAGACCGCAAATGATCCCCAAAATGGACCGCAAATAATCCTCGACCGCAAGTGATCCCTAAAGTCGACCGCTAATGATCCCGTGAAAACTTGAGGAATGGAATGGATTTTATGGGATTGATAACAAAAAAAGGACTGATTATAAAAAAGAAACCTTTTTCTCTCGCCTTCTAAAGAAAAAGGGAAAGAGGACGAAACATCTCAGGTCAATTTTCGTCGCTGAAAAATTTAAGACAGGCAGGACGTTACGCAGAAAAAACTTTATTATTTTAACGTCTAGAAGTTCAACTTGTCTACTGAGGAATACAAAGCCGGGCACCCTCTACATAACAAGAGCTTTATTGACTTTACTGATCTTTTTGGAAGTGTGAAATTAATTTCAGAATATTTAATTTTGATTTTTTCTCTGAAGTGTTAATTTTAAGTGATAAACAGCAAGACATTTGTTCGTAACTTGGGTGTCCGTTACGAAAAAGAACATGACAACATCAACACAAGTCAAAATGCCCCCAAACTTATCAATGTCCACAAGTTTCGTTTTCTTTCGAAATAGCGACTTGCGTACAGCTCATGAACATGTTTTGAATAGTTTTATTGTCGCTTATATGTATATTCATTTGTTGTGCCTTTGCTGGACAGACAGTTACCAGGAATCTAAACCTGGTAATGAGAAACGCGAAAGCGAGGTAAGTAGCTGTTGTCGCGTGATAAAACATCGTAGGAAACCGTCACATTCACGGACTAAAAGAAAATCGCTTATAATTATTCTGATCCGGGAGGCACTTTGGAGAAAATTAATCAACCTAAAACCCTTATTTAGCGACAATGAAGAGCATTGCATTTCAAAAGAGGTCAAAGGAAATGCTCTTGCATCAAAGGGCAAATCATGCCGACCAGAAAGAACAATAACCGCAGAAAATGCGTGTCATGACCTGTCAGTATGAAATAGGCGGCAAAAATTACATTTGCTCAGTCAAAACGTTTTCCTTCAGAGGTATAATCTACCCGCCAGAGACAAATTCATTAGAACAAGCAGCATTTTAGCATGAGGTAAAAGTCGTGTGTTGCCTACCCACTTCGCTTTTACACTTGAATGATGTTTTTTTCATTTAGTTTTTATTATGTATTTATTTGAGAAATAAAATTTTTGACTTTTAGTAATAATAATAAAATCGACACGATGATCAGCTAACTTGAGTCCAAGTCATTCCTGTTTTTCTTTCGGGATCATTCGAGGTCGACTTTGGGGATCACTTGCAGTCGAGGATAATTTGTAGTCCATTTTGGGGATCATTTGCGGTACTGTAGAGTGCACTGTTGGCTACAAAGAAATTTGAAAGAATAGCACAGGGGGCCACGGACATACCGTAGAGTCACCTTAAAATTCTGAAAATAACCCTCTCCATGTATAAGCGCCTCCAAATACAAGCCCCCAACCTCGTAACGTGAAAAACCCTCCGTTAAATCCCCCCTCCAAATACAAGTCCCCGGGGACTTGTAATTGGAAATTGCCCTCAAATTCAAAATTAAACAAAGCAAAAATGTACAGTAACACATAAACTTTTGCATTTGTCAAAGAACTATTACGTGTGCCAAATGCTTGCAGTCAAAAAGTCTCACAGTATATTGCTGTTTGCGTGGTTCCTCTTAACTCTTGGCTTGGATTTCCTCGTTCTACGTAGAAAAAGTATTTGCATGGCTCAGTTTTAGTAAGATCTTTGTCCTCAAGGCGAGTTTCAGTAAAAACTTTCTGAAAATTACTGACATAAATTTCCTTCCAACTATGAGCTAGCCCAATCAATTTTGAAAACGTAAGTTTCCTTCCCAGTATACGCCTAGGTCATTTTCAAACGCAAATTCCCTCCGTATACAAGCCCCTCCGAATGTAAGCCCATCCAAAAATAAGCCCCTCAAAAACAGCCTTTGAAAAATATAAGTCCCGGAGGTTATTTTCGAAAATTTCACCAGGTATGTTTGAAAGTGCTAAAAAGGCAAGAGGCAAAAGTAGGTTTGATAGCTAGAGCCGTTAGGAACAGTCACTGCATGATCATATCGCATATTACCTTTCGGGATTGTCGCGTACATTTTTTCCGACAACCTTTCTCGAAATTATAATCTGTATGGTACAGTCCAAAATTACATTAAGGCAACCTAGTCCCTAGGCGTTCTCTCTTGATCCGTTGTCCGCGCGAAGTCTGAGAGAGAGTGGGCGAGTATCTCTCGGTGATGAAAATGAAGAAATGATCGTCGCAGTGAACGCAATTTATGCAATTGCGTAAAGAAGCCTGAAAAAAATTCAGGACTTCAACGGGATTTGAACCCGTGACCTCGCGATGCCGGTGCGATGCTCTAACCAACTGAGCTATGAAGCCACTGACGTTGGGAGCAGGTCAATTGTGGGTTCATATGTTCCCGTGAAAGAGATGAGTGTTAATGATATATGAAATAAATAATATATGAACTGCGGAAATGAAATGAAAATGAAGAAATGATCGTCGCAGTGAACGCAATTTATGCAATTCTCTCGGTGAGGTTACAGCTCACGAAACACCGCGGCAAAACGTCTACGCATGTGCTAGTTTGAGCATTTCCGGTCTCTTTTTCAGTCGACTTTTAGTCACTTTCCAGTCAGATCAAAGTCTCCCGCGCACGCTCGGATTCATTCTGTGTGCAGCTTGTGCCCCAGGTTCAGTTGTTCTGCTTCATGCTGCTCGTGTTTTTGACTATTTTGTAGTTATTGAAATTGCCTTTATGGATAACCAGGCACAGATCACTGAAACAATTAGTCGATTAGATTCAGAAAAGGTAAGTTGATAATAACTCAGTGTTTAATTTTGGCTAGAGCGTCAGGTAAACTGATTTTCATTCACGAAAACAAATTTTTGACTGTTATTTTTCACTTAAGCTGGCTGAAACTAAGACATAAAAAGTTAATATTGCAAGCTTGTGTTTTGTACTTCTAATTTTCAGTTCTTCAATTTCTCAGTCTTCATGTCTTAAAGCCGATTCGAGCTTTATTTGGAAAACGACAACACACAATTGCTTTGTAGTTTAATTTACCAGTGAGTTTTACCGTGTTTTGAAACAAAACTCTTCAGAGTTGATTGTCATGAAAAATAAGCTTAATTATACTGTTGAGGTTGGCAGCAAGTTGACAACTCTATTTATTTTTTTTTTCATTCTCAGAATCAGAGAGCGAATCTGATTCGATGGCTTTAAGAAGTTGAAATTTTCATGCCATGTATTTAGAGGCTGGAAGTTTCGTGTTTGCATGAGATGCAGCAGAGTCGCACAGTCTGAAATTACTGAAGTCTTCAACCAAAGAACAACGATGTAAAAGAATTAAATAGGCATTTTCTTGAATGAAAGTCATTTATAGGCATGTTTCGTTTCCCGGCACTGAAAGCTCCAGGTGTTCGTGACTGCAGTCATCAAAGTCGAAGTTGTTACTAAATCCCGCCCATCTTTTGTTTTGAGTTCTTGTTTTCTCTGATAATAAAAATATTATTGAACGGGCTAAAATTTTATTTCCTGGTTCTAGTGTTAATGATAATCATGACGTCTTTATTTTGGTTTCTTTCATAAGTATTGCCATCCTTTTCTTAGTTATCGCCTTCTCCCAAAAGCTTATGCCAAACCAGTAGCATGCAAGAAAGCCAGTAAAAACAAATTCGTCTTGTCGCGCGCTCGCGACCTGCAAACTTCAAACATTATTTTCACCGTTGGTGCAAACAGATAACCATGTGGCGCAAAAGTTTGACACTAGAAAAATATATAAGTTTTCGAATGAGGTGATTATTTTCGCCCCCTTTTTTGTCTGTTTCTCCCTTTTTGCTTTTAAACTTGGCACGACGGCAATGTTGTGCTTACGCAATTTTTTTATATACTAGACCGGAAATAAAAAGCTGACCGGATGTTAAATTTTGTGCTCGTGCGCAGTGCGTTTTGCCGCGGTGTTAGCTCACGGTAGAGTCCCAAGGATTGACCAACCCGAGAATGCCTAGGGACTAGGCCGATATTAAGGTTAAAATGTACGTCTAACCTAAGTTGATTCACAATTTCCTTGTCTCCTAGCCCTAATTCATGAATAATTA